TAAACTCAGTCATTAGACTAATTAGGTTTTTGACCTGCTGGCTTTGAGTTTATCTAAAGCAGGGATATCAAACTCATTTTACATAGTGAGCCACATAAAGCCAAGTTTGAATTTAAGTCAACCTGACCAGTAAAATTCCCCTTTGTGTTATACGTTTAATGGTGTTGTAGTAAATGAAAGAAATCTGTCAGCATGACTCTTTGGGCTAAAAGTGTAAGGAATAGGTAGAAAATAAGATTTTTCTATAGCAGATTGTGAAAAAACAGGAAAGTAATTCAGTAATTGAATTACTTTGGTGTGGCATGTCTATATCAGAAGGAAAAAGTCCAAAACTTTCGTCCACCATATTTTCTAAAGCCATTGAGTGGGCTGGCTTAGAGTCTCTGCTGGGCTGATTAAGGCCCCTGGTCCTTATGTTTGACACCCCCTGATCTAGAACTTAGCAGGAGATGACCAAAATCATTCAGCATCATCCAATTCATAGCTTTAAAATCACTTTAATAAAAAAATGTCAGCCTTCTCTTAGTGCTACAGAAGCAGCAAAATAACCACCAAAGAAAGTTGAATTCATCACACGGAGAAGATAACCTCTGAGCCTGGATCAACGATCAGAAACACAGAGCTACATCATCATCATGAGGGCAAAGATCAGAAGTTTTCTGATAAAAGTTTAAACATTCTCACGGTTTGAATTCAGAGAAGCGCCTACCTGATCCTTAAATGAGTTTGTGGTTCATATTAAATCAAGTGTTTGTATTATAACTGTGTGCTCTTCTCCGATTCCCCCTGTGGCGGTAAACGTGAAGAGTTGTTTTGTCAGTGGTGACCTAGATGAAACCCGCAAATGGACATTAAGTGGCTCCTTCGTGGAAGTAGGTTGCAGTGTCTCAGAGAGAGGAACTTTTGCCTCTGCAGTAACACCACAGGGAGCTTCCTATATTTACCGTGGTGCAAAGAAAGTGCCATAATTGTCTTGTCCTGCGCCTATTCTGCCACATTCATATTGAGAACAAAAAAGCAGGACTGCTGGCAGCATGTCGGGGCAGCACAGTTTCTCAGGATTTATGCTTGAACCTAATGCGGTGGTGACAGCTACCAGAGAAGCTGGAGTTCGGCTGAAAGTCGTGCATTTGCTTTGAGGTATCACTCACAGCCGATGCCGGTGGTACATTCATGAGCCACTTGAAGGACCACCGGTGAAGAAGTCCTTTCAGCGAGCAACGCTGTTGAGTCTCTTGGCTCTCAACTGTTTAAAATAAGCTGACCCCAGCTGTCCACAAATGGCAGAAATGGAATGAAGAAAAAGAAAAGTTAATATTTAGAAATGTGAGGCTCTAATTCAAACAAAGAGTCTTTGTGGCTGTTTAAAAGTTTGTGATGGATGACGAGAGCCATACTTTCTTGTAACGTGGCTGTGCCACAAAGGGACGACAGACGAGAGGGGTTTCAGGTCGAGCTTTTAACGTTGTTTTTCCCTTTCGTTGACTTTCTTGTCTGTGAGAAACAGAACTCCTCCTAACGCAACACAGCTGTGAAATCATGACCGTGGAAAAGAGTAAAGTGAAGGAGCAGAGTTTGGCACGTGAACTTTGAGTGATCGCCATGTGGCTCGTGCGTTCTCATCAAGTAGCAGGACTGTTGGCAGGCCTAATGGCAGCTTATTTTCACTGGCCTGTGTGCACAAAATGGGGGGAGAGGGAGGGGTGGGAGGTAGAGGATGGGAAAAAAGGAAAATAGTAGTGATGAACGGAACAAAGGGAACAAAAGAACAAGCGCAGAGAGAAAAATGAAAAAGCAAATGACAAAAGTAAGGGTATGAAAAAAAAATACTGCTGAGAAACGGAGTGGGTTAGGGAGGAGGGGGGGATCAGTATCTCTGGGTAGAGCTTGTTCACCCGCAGAGCCTGCCGAGGTGCGTCTGAGCAGCCCGGCCCTCTGATTGGCGGAGCGCAATGCAGCGCTCTCCCCTCCCCCCCTGAAGAAAGAGGTGCAGCAGGAACGTCAGACCCAGACAGCACAAGACTTGACTACTGAAGCAGCGTTTTTCCAAAGCTCTACCTAGGATGCAGTCAGCAGAGCATCTAGGGATAGACTAGATGCCAGATCCCTCTCCTGTTACAGCAGAGCATCTTCTACTGCTAGCCTTAGGAATCCATCGAATAGTATAGATTGGAGATACATTTTAAAGCTTTTATCAGCCAGAAAGGGCAAAGCTGACGCCTTGAGCATCGAATTCACCGCATTGAGGAGGACAGCCACCAGTCACCATGGGCAGGCAGGGGAACGATACCTCTCCTCCGGCTCCTGGGATGCGTATCCAGTGTTCCCAGAGCAAGATGAGCCTGTCAGCATCATTCGAAGCGTTGGCTGTCTATTTCCCCTGCATGAACTCCTTTGATGAGGAGGACGGAGGTAAGATGACAGGCGGGGAAATGTCACAGCCAAAGCTTCCTGCTGGGGGGTAAACAGTGCGGCTTAAACTAAAAGATGGCGGTGAGCAAGGGGAGATAGATTTAGGATGAGAGGGAAGCTGCAGAGGTACTGGCATGGGAGAGAACTGGGACGTTGGAAAGTTCAGAAATGTTATTAGCTCAATTAGGATGTTTAGCTCAATTAGTCTATTTCAGTAAGTGTAATGTGTTATAAGGCTTGAGCTGTCCATACTGTGCATGATCTGGTTATATGATGACATAAAGCTTAATGTGCAATTTCATCTGTGGGTGGTCAGTTTATCATCAGTTAGTTGTGGGCCAGTCACACTTCTTTCTGCATCTGTTGTTGCTGCTGCCACCAATGGTGGTGTTGTCAAAATGGAACCGGTCTGTTTGCTTACAAATGGCACTCACGCTGGTCTAAAAACCTAATTTGCCCCGCATGACTGTGACTCTGATTCTGTGGATGAAAACAAAGGACTCTGTATTTGGAATGAATCCCTCTTTAGTATTTAGTTGGAAGTAGTGCTTCTTTTTCTTTTTGCTTAGAACCACAACGTTGTTCTGACTGTCACTTCAAATTTCCTAAAAGGTAGCGTAACGCCTACTGTGTGTATTTATAGCTCAGCCTCACAATCACTTCTTGTTCTATTTGCAGTTGTATTTACAAAAGAAGATTTGCAGTGCGCGTGATCTATTCTTCTGTAGCTTTATCTGGCAACATATTTTCTGCCACACTACTCACCACTCCTCCTTTTTTTTTTTTAGCTACAATTTCACACTCACTTAAACTCACACTTCCACCATTGGCAGCTTCCCTAGACTCGCTGTCTTTTCCTGATTGGCAGGGTCGCAATTGGAGGGCAGCAAACTTATGGAGATGAGCCAGTTTGTCTCGTTTTGACGCCTCTCCTGCTTCGCGGTTGCTGGATAGTTTATAAAAGTAACTTACTCTCCGACATACACTTATAACAGTCTAATCTTTATCTTATCTGCCACTGCTTTTAATGCACCTCTGTATATTTTTGTCTATAGAGCGGATACATACAGCGTTTATTTGAAATGCATTGGAACAGTATTTAAAGCACTCAAATAAGATCACATAGTGCTTGATATAGTGCAAAAGCTGCATAAATCCAAGACTGTGCCTTGTAACTTGTGTCAAAAGCAGAAGAGAATTACCATTAATAAATCATGTGTTTTTCAAGTTCGTTGATAACGTCTGGCTGGCCACTGAATGACAGCGGAGGTCTGCTGCAGACGTCAGAGACGACCTTTGTGGCTGCTTCTCTTATTGTAAAAAATGTGAAGAGCAGGAAGAGGAGGCGGAGGCCAGCTGAATAACTGCGATTTCAAGGCTGAAGAGCATCATGCCTGTTTTATGTCTGTGTGAGGCACAAAATGATCCATTTTTTTTATCTTCAGTTCCTCCTCTACTAAGGCAAACAAAGGAGAGAGGAAGGAGAGTAAAGACTGCAAGGCCTATAACTGGATTAGGACTGCTGAAGCCTAGAAATTACTCATCTGCACAAACTTGCAAAATATTAGAGAGAAATTACATAAGGTCTGTGAACGGCCGGTTTTTGCACCCTGTAGTAATGAGCTGAAGCTTTGTGTATAGTACCTCTGTGTTATTACCTTCATCAGGCTTTGCAGGGATTTTCTGACCAAATAGTGCTAAATTTGATTACACAGAAGAAGAAGAAAAAAATTAATCCCATACCTGCAAAAGGCATGAAAACATTTAGTGATGGTTGGATCACCCCGTAGCAGTGCACAATTAAATGTTTAGAAAGGGACATGTTTTCAGTTTAACACAGCTGCATGTGTATGTAGAAAGCTCATACGGAGGTTTTTAGAACTAACCTATAATGTTTCACTTCATTTGAATCTCTTGAGGAGCTTCTCAGCACATTAGGCTTACTGAAAGTAAAAGACAACTTTTTGCCAACCTTTTTTTAAATGGGATATGAAAAGTGTGCGTGTGTGTGTGTGTATATATGGTAGAGCAGACATACTATACTTTTGAGGAGTTGTGTGTTTGTAAGCCGCAGGCGTGTCCACATTGTGCCACACGCACGCGGTCAGGTGGCGATGCACAGCGGGAGGCTTAATGGAGAGAATCAGCTTTCTTCTTGGATCAGTCAGGATGGTGGGTTTGGGTTGGAGGGGTGGGGATGCATAGACAGTGGATGTTTGTAGGTGAATTTGCTCCCAGAAGTCCCCCATAGGCAGTCGGTGGCGCAGACTGGAGGAAGGCTGCACATAGTGTTCCTAATATCGATCTTTTTAAAGAGACGGCAGTGCTCTGGTATAGAATTTGAATTCACTGAGGTGCGCTTTGTTTTCAGAATCAGAATCAGAATACTTTATTAATCCCGAAGGAAATTCGTTTTCTCCTGAGGAAAGATTTATGTACGAGCCGATTAAAGCGTTCGTACACCAGTGATAATCCGCGCAAATGGTTCTCGCCGTGCGACTCGCATCCCCCCAGTTCAGTGTTGTGGACTGACAATTCTTCTCTCTCCTTCTCTGTCATTTGTGTCGTGCGTGTAACTCTGTGTTCAGAAGCGGGAGGTAAAAAGTTGCGCAGCACTATCCAGAGGAGCACAGAGACAGGCCTGGCGGTGGAGATGAGAAGCAGGATGACTCGGCAGGCCAGCAGGGAGTCCACAGACGGAAGCATGAACAGCTACAGCTCCGAGGGAAAGTAAGGAGACATGCACTTGTGCTCTGCGGACGATCAGAAAACTAATTCAGCAGCTTTTATATACACGAAAAATTCAGAATTTCATTTGGTAACTTATATCAGGTTCTAGTCTAACTATAAACACCTGGTGTTTTTATTTTTTTTTCTTTGTTAATGTTTCAGTCTCATCTTCCCTGGTGTGAGGCTGTCCTCAGATGCCCAGTTCAGTGACTTCCTGGATGGTCTTGGCCCTGCTCAGCTGGTTGGGCGACAGACATTGGCTACTCCCCCTATGGGTGAGGACAGTTATCCTTTTTTTTCCTTTTTTTTTTTTTTACAGAGATTTGTAGCTTGAAATGATGAAAGCTTCACTTCAGACAAGTTAAAATCTTCAGTTTTGTTGGTTGTTTAGGAGACATCCAGATTGGCATGGTGGAGAAGAAAGGTGCACTGGAGGTGGAGGTCATCAGAGCCCGTGGCCTTGTGGGAAAACCAGGTTCCAAGGCACTGCCAGGTAATCAAAGCTACTAAATGTGCTAGTCTATGTCAGGTATTCACAGAGTGAATAAAGGTAAGCATGACTTGGTTGCGGAAAGAGAAAAGGAAACCTTTCAAAAGCTCATCTCTCCTTTACGCTTTCTTGATTTCCAGCACCGTATGTAAAGGTCTACCTTTTGGAAAACGGAGTCTGCATAGCCAAAAAGAAAACTAAAGTAGCAAGAAAAACCTTGGATCCTCTTTATCAGCAGCAACTGCCGTTTGAGGAGAGTCCAGGAGGGAAGGTTTTACAGGTAAGAATGTTATTCCTTTAGACTGCAACAAAGTGTCACAATTAGCATTTCTCCTTGCAGTCTGCTGACCTCAATGCAAGGTCACACAGCTGATACGGTTCTGCACATCAGATTGGCTTTTTCATGTAAAAAGCTATATAAGTTGTATTGGGGTTCATCTGATTGTTGGGGTTTTCTCTGTATTATTGTAGTCTTTACCTTGCAATATAAAGTGACTTGGGGCAAATGTTGTTGTGATTTGGCACTAAATAAATAAAACTGAATTGAATTTTGACCAAGACTGTTGACTTCATTTATCTTTCTAAACTTGCTCCATCCTTTAAAGTTTTTTTCGTTCTTGTTTGCAGGTCATCGTATGGGGTGACTATGGACGTATGGACCATAAATCATTCATGGGAGCAGTTCAGATACTGTTAGATGAGCTGGACCTGTCCAACATGGTGATTGGCTGGTACAAGCTCTTTCCTCCTTCCTCACTGGTGGACCCTACTCTGGCCCCACTGACAAGAAGAGCTTCCCAATCCTCACTGGACAGTTTCTCTCGATCATAGCAGCGTGTGGACTGATAGCGTTGTTGTAGCAGCCAGTGTTGCGATTACAGGTCACGCCCCCCCCGGTTACACTGCATGCTTGATGTTGTGTCTTCTGAGCCTGTTTCTAGGGGTGCAAACGTGATCCTGTGTTTTGAGCAAAAACGTCACGCACACTGTGCATGTGGCGAAGCGTATCGCGAGCGCCTGGTAGCAGGGATTGCCAGGTGTTGTTGTTGTTGTTTGGAGGAAGCCGGAATGAACTCCTTAGCACGAGGAATCCGTCAATTCCAGGTTTTCATCCAATTCGAAGCCATGGGGGTCAACACTGGGAACCTCTGAATGAGTTCTACAGAAGCCCTTTTCGAATGAAAAATCTGTGTGTTGCTTGATTTTATTTTTTTTCCTGTGTCGTTTTCATTTCTTTTATTTACTTTTTTCTTTAAATGTCAGTGTACTTGTCTCTGAAGGGGGTGACAGTGTTTCTAACCAGATGCTTGGTCACGCCACGCCAACAGACCTAGCCGTGTAGATGGAATTTTCGAGACCATCACTTTGGGTGAGGTGTGTCCCAGCTTGTAACCACACTCCCACAGACCCCAAAAAGAAAAAACCCCGCATACTCTACATATATCTACCCGTTCAACCCATACTGGTAAAGCACCGTAAAAGATTAATCAAATGCCACTTTAAAGTGGCTGCCCTCAACACCCCCTTCCCCCAAAAAATAAATAAATACAGTAACAATCCAAACTCCATGAAAAGATGTACAATCTTACCATATTTCTTTCTCTGTTGATATATTGTATGAAAATTAAATGAGATTTTTCTTTTCCCTTTTTTTAGTTTCTTTGCATGGACACAAATTTAGCTGAATAAAAAAAGAAAGAAGAAAATTATTTTCTTGAGGCTGTAACTTGCAAAAAAAAAAGATGAAAATAAACAGAATCAGCCATTTTCAACAATTTATATTATTTTTAAAGAAAATTTTCACTAGTGCATGGTTTTCAAGGGGAGTGAATGCAACATCGTGACTGAAAAAAAAAAGGACATTGTTTATCATTCTTTACACCATTCATGAATCTGCATTTTGCAGACATGCAGAAAAGGGGAACTTAAGAATTATTTAACAGAAAATGTTTATGTGACAAAAAGTGATAATGAAAATAAATGTAAATGATCTATTTCATTGTAAAAGGCTAATGCCTTATAAAGATAAACATAATGTGCAAATTGTACATGTTTCTCTTTTTCTTCCTTTCCCAGGGTACTTCTCATCGTACTATTCATTGCTACCATTGTTCAGTCCCCTGACATCGTCCAGATTTTAGGACTGTTGGTTACTTTACAGTACTGTATCGTTTCACTATGTTTGTTTTCTTCCTTCTTTTGGATTTGGATTTGTTTAACAAGCATGTTGAAAAGGGTCTTTTGCAACATGGCTTGGGCACACCTTACAGTAACTCAGCATGTTTTGATAAAGATGATATTTGGAATTTTTGCAATTTCTTGTACAGTGCATGTCAACTTCATTACTTTTCTCCCTCACCTTAAATTGAGCTCTATGGCAAATTAGTTCTTGGTCTTCCTGGGCCATTTATTGAAGTTTTAACAGAACATTCCACCCCACCCGAAAGTCACATTTTCTTTCAGGTTTTTGAGGAAAAAAAAGAATAAGAAAAAATATGACAAGGAAAATATTTTATATTTAATGGATGCTGGCGAAACAGTTGTGATTGCAAGTGTATTTTATTTCAGTATTGTTGACGAACATGCAAAAATAATCTGTACTGGTACAGCAAAGAGGTCTATACCGAATCAAGAGACGGCAAACATGCGCGACATGCGTGTTGCCATGGTTCAATTTTACATCACTGTTTGTGAAGATGAGCTAATCACAAGTTGAAATAATAAGGGATATTGCCACAGAATTTTTTTTTCTTGTTTTAATGAAAATGAAATTACTTTACTATATTTTTGTTAGTTTTATTTAAAAGCCAAGACCAGTTTATTTTTTATTTTCTATTTTTAGTAATTAACAATACTTCTCGTGTCTGGGAAGTACATGAATCTTATAGTTGCAGTATGTCTGAATGAAACTGAATTGAGGCATTGTTCCTTTTCCACGTGAAGATAATGCATTTTAATGTCAGAGAAAAACCTTGTCGCTTTAACAAGCTACAGTATATATTTTCATTTTCATTGTACATACCTTTAGATGTCAGAATTTGAGTAAACAAGCTACCACAAGTAGACTGATAGATTCTTTTGGAAGAGGAAAAATGCCTCATGATGACAAAGACATGTTATTTATCCTTTTGAATGCCTTTTCATTTTCTCTTTTTGGTGCAATGTGTTAATGCCAAGGCTATGTCTTGGTTAAGTATGGTTGAGTACAGAGATTTATGTAAGTTATTTTTCAAATTAAAAATAAAAAAAATGATATTACACTGATGTCAAGAGTTCAGTGATGATCAAATTAACGCACACTCACACACACTACATCATCTTTTACATCAATGTGAATAAGTTGCTCTTTTTAGTTGTTTATAGACAGATTCTGATTTCATTTATTGACCTAACTGCACAATGTTGCCAGTTAGGTCACTTTTCTTCATGCAATAATGGTAAAGGAATGGTTCTAAATTTCGGTCCTTAGGATGGCTTGTTTTAGGTTTGTAGGTGTTTCCCCATTCCAAAACACCTGAATGAAGAGCTTGGAGAAGACATGTAAGGTACAAATGACAAATGTGATATCCACCTTTCATTTCTAAAGTTCCACACAGTGTAATGAGAAACATTTAGACACATAGAAACCCATGCAATCACACATGCATGCTATTGCACATAAACCATGCATGAGCACAGACAAAGAAACACAAAAACACAGTTCTTTGTGATTTGTTGCCTGACAGTGGTTGTGGCTCACCTCCTCTACAACAACCCGGAGTAATTCATACAAATCAGTGACTGATTGGAAGGCTGGGGGTTCAATCCCTGGCTGCTCCAGTCTGAAGATCCTCGGGCAAGATACTAAACCCAAATTGCTCCCAGTGTGTTCATCAATGTGTGTGTGAATGTTAGACAGAGGGCACTTAGATGTAGAAGAGGAGTTTGCCCAAATATGTTTGTTAAATGGTGAATGTATTGTATAAAGTGATTTGAGTGCTTAAGTAGAGTAGAAAAACATTAGCCATCCAGCCATCAAGTGGGACTGATTGGAGTCTTTGCCAGGCCGATTTTGGCCCCTGGGCCCTATGTTTGACACCCTAGATTTAAAGGTGTTTTTTTTTTTTTTAGTTTTGCTTTAAATCCTGTCCTCTCTGGCAGCTTTTGCAGTCAGAATAGCCAAACACACTTTGCTTTTCCAAAAACAGTTATAAAAAAATCTCTGTAGCCTCCTCTTATTCATGTGAATCTTTTATCTGTTCATTTATTCATTTCTATCTGTGTTATTTCAGTTATTGCATTAAAAAAATAAAAAATAAACATACAGCACATGGAATAAAAAATTAGAAAATACACAGACACGTGAATCCACAATCTTCTTGTAGTGTGAGTGTAAATGTGAGAGAGAGAGACTGTCTGTGTATGTGTCTTTGTCACAAACATTTCCTAATCTCTATTCAGAATCTGTAAGCACAGGAGTCTTTACACACTGCTCTTTTGACTTTGCATTTATTCAGTATTCTCGTTCATATGTGTAGTCAGATTATAGAGGTTGACGCCTCAAATCTGTTTTCTCTGCGTTGACTGCAGAATGTTCTTGGTGGTGGAGCGGATGCTGGTCACAAACAGTTCATTTCCTTTCTTTGTGAAATGGACTCCGTCTGGTACAAAGATTGTGTTGTCGAAAAATTTCAAACAGGGATGTTCAATAATCACCCCTCCAAAGCAGTGGGCAGCCTTTCTCATGGTATGGTTGACAATCTCCCTGTCCTTATTTATCTTCCATGGACTTCCATACCTCCACACTTGGCGCTGATTGATGCAGGAATAAGCAATCGTCATTGAGGGGAACTCTTTGTGCAGTTGCATCAATTCCATCTTCATTATACCAGAAAGTTGCTGGGCAGACATGAGTCCTAAATCATTGCCACCAGCGTGGATAATCAATATGTCAGGCGGGCTCCGTGTAGATAACTCTTCATAAAAACGTGGAAGGACGCCGCTCCAGCCCATCCCTCCTTTGCCAAACCATTGGACTTTGGCATTAAGTCCCAAATTCTCTCCAAACTTCTGTCTTGCTCCGAACTCTCCTCTTTTGACGTAGCTTGAGCCAACGATCCAAATGTTTCTAACTTTCTGGTCTTCTGGCCTCTTTTTCTCCATCCCTTTGCTTTCAGAGGATCTGGCATCATTCTGGAAACTCGAGGCCGTATCATTCAATTTCTTGCCTTTGAGTCGGATCATCGTGATAGCGGCACTTTTTTGGATGCTTGGTGGTGTCACAGCTGATTCATTCTTGTCTGTGTCTTTCTTCATCCCTTTTCTTTCTGAAAAGCAGGCCTCAGTGATGCTTCTGCAGTTGGTTGAAATCTGACTGAAATTTCTTTTCAGTACAAATTTCTCTCCACAGATTCTGCGTTTTCCCCTTGCTGGGGAGGAGCTGTCAGCACTTCTGCTGCAATTTTGTGCAGCATCATGCTGGATTCGCTTTCTCTTTAGTGGGAGCTTGACAGGGTTTAAACCCAGCTGATCTTTCTCAGACACTGGCGACAGGTTTTGGCGCTGCATTCTTGTAAAAAGATGCTACACCACTTGGCTGGATCCAATAAATACAGCAACAGTTTTCCTGAAGCTTGTCAGTGTATTCACAATGTTTCTTCCCCAAAAAATTTTCAAAATGCGATATTTAGACACTTAAACAACGAGCTCGGATTTTTGTTGTGCACTCACGAAGGAAGGGCAGTGAAATGACTGAAGCCTCTGCTCTATATGGGTATTTCTGTTCCGTTGTGACGTCATACACCTAGTAACTCTCAGCAGGCAGACTGCAGCTCTTTCATTTAACAGACAAACATTCTGCACAGTGAAGATGTTTTTATTTGAATTTGTTTGTTTTTGGAGTTTATGGGATGTTTTAGAGAGAATTTTTGCTTTCCCATCAAAACACAAATAAATTCATATGAATACGTTTAAAGTGCACTATACATGTAAACAGTGATTATTTACTCATATTGAGTTAACAGGCTTTTTTCCTCTCAAATATGTGATTATGGATGCTTATTTCATGTAATAACTAGACCATTTGCAGTGGCAAGTACATACATTTGATTTTATGTGACTGTGACAGAGTCTCATGTTGCAATGAATGCGTCCCAGTCAGTGTGCAGATACAGGGAATCCGTTTAGATGTAAATAAAACCAGTGTTTCTGTGTCAGGGGGCAGGGTCTGTGAGTTTGTTTAGTACTTTTGATTGTTATATTGAAATCATGTAAAGTTCTTGTGTTATTGTTTTAGTTAAGGTTTACTTGCGTTTTGATCTAGTTATGTTTCTTCTGTGTCTCCTTGCTTGTGTCTTTTGTGTGCCCCCTGTCTCCCCATGTATTTCATGTCTTCGTGTTGCATGTTCTATTTGTCAAGCTGATGTTGTCTTGTCTACGTCCCTTTTCTCTTTCCTGTTTTATTGCGAAGAGTCTGGTGTTCCATGTTAAGTGTGTTTAGTTGTACTTCCCCTGTGGCGTTCAGGTTCATTTGTGTCAGCTGTTTTCTCCATTACCCTCCTGTGTATGTAAGTCCTCTTTCTCACTAATTCATTGTCGATTCATCTGTTTTCCTCCCTCCACGTCACGTCAGCTTTCTCATAATCCTGTTCAGGTCCATGTTTCTGGTTTTCTTGCACCTGCTCAGATTTATGTTCATGTTTCTCTTGTCATAGTTTTCATAGGTTTTAGTTTTACTTCTCGCACCTGTTCGCCTTGCTTTGTTTTTGTGTTCATGCTTTTTCAGCCAAATCAACGGCTCGCTTTTTGATTAAACTTCATTTCAGTCTCTCCCTTGTCTGCTTTTCGGGTCCACACCACAAACACACCGGCTGCTCTGTCGACAACTTACTTCGCTTAATGTTTCAATTCAACAGGTCTCTCCTTGACAGGGTTGTGCAAGTTTTTTTTCCCAATTAAACCTAAAAAAAGGCATCTATTGTGTCTACTATGAAGGAAAATACCACAAGATAGACTTTCTGAAGTATTATTTTCTTTGTCTGAAAAATCGAAGCCTGTTCTAAAGGTAATTAGCTAAATACACTCGCTAAGTATTCAGGTCACGCTCACAAATCAGTGAAAATGTTTTCTTTTTATCACCTCTCTCTGAAGCAAACATTCAATGCTAGCCTCAGTGTGTGAATAAAGTACACAGAACTTAATGTGCTGACCAAGACAGTGCTGAAATTCTGATGTTAAGCATTACAACATTGAGGTTTTGCAGATCACATGACCACTAACCACTTAACGTTAAGTTGCCTGGCATTTTGGACATGTGACAAACATGATGACCATATAGGGTCAAATGAATACAGTCACACGGACCTTCTAATTCTATTGAATATTAGGATTCTCTGAAATCACCTACTCCTGTAAAAGGGTATTTTATCATTGTTTCTGCAATATGAATATGTTACCCTAAATACACAAAATTATTAGTATTCAGTCCACTCACACATTCGTGCAATACCACCTTGAAATTCTTAGTAAAGCATTAGATTTTTATGTGAAAAGGATATTTCAGTTGCACACACCCCACAGTCATAATTCAGCCTCTGTTTACTTCTGCTTGTGGTTGAAAAATAGGGATGACTACAAAATGACTAATGACAAAGGCAAGAGTCTTCCTGTTTCTGTCGTATTTAAGGCGACTGCGCTCTACATGAATCAGAAGAGCTGCTGAGCTTTATACATCAGGCTACTACTTCGCCTTTCTGTTCAGCACAAGTGTCTTTTCGGGCACAGTAGTTACTGAATATATTGTATTTGTTAATGATTTTCTTATAACCTGCCATTTCATTCCAATTTTGCTTTTGCTTTTCAACGTCTACTTTAATATCCAGGATGCTTTTCTCATGGATTGCAGTAAAACAAAGCCTTAAAGATGTGGGTTTTCAAGCTGTGGATGTGTTCACCACTGGTAAAAGGGATGGATTCAGAAGAACAATCCTTCTCCTCCTCATCTGTAGCATCTCCAGCCTCCTGCTCAGCTCCCTGCTCCTCCTGTACCTCCTTTTCGCTCAGGACTATGAGCTAGCAGTGGCTGGGGGGATTGCCGCCTGCTTTGGGACACTGCTGACTGTTGCCCTCTTCCTATCAAAGAGAGTAAGGTGTTTAGGGACTCTTTTTGTTATATCCATTTTCATGAAAAAGAGTAGGAACTTGCTGTTAACTGCTGGAACCAGCTTAGTGGTTCTTAAGAACATCCGTAACACTCTGGAGAACCTCTCGCTGCTGGTCAGGAGTATGATTTGCAACCTGAAGGCAAAAAAAGCCTCCATCATTGCTCCATTTACTAACTATGTTCAGATGTTGAAGTGGATCGGAGACATGCTCAAAGGGGTTACAAACCTGGGAGTAGTGAGATTTGACTCCCAGCTCAACGTCTCTCCAAGATTGGAATCAGAAGAATTCAGGCAGAGGCTCGCAGGAGCAGAGCAGAAGCTCAACGAGACTGTTAAATATGCACAGGCCCTGATGAATACAGTGAGCTCAGTGACCGACAGGATGTTTCCTGCCATCAGCTTCCTCGTGCTCATGATGTTTATAGCATTGCACATAAAAAAATACTGCAGAGACATGAAATACAAAAACAGGTTCATCAGCAGCAAGTTTGTTCATTTTGACGAGAAGCAGAAGGCGGAAGGAAAATCCCACGTCCTTCCCCTCACGGCAGAGGAGGAGCAGCTGTACACCTTCATTCCCTCCGCCCGTCCCACAACAAGAGAAGGGAAAGCTATGGTGAAATTTGGAATTCCAGTTGTCTCCCATTTCATAGCTTGGGTCATATTCATAACTGTGGACGCCTTGCTGTACTGTTTTGTTGACATTGTTACAGCAAGGTTATCAGAGCTGGAGCCATTCCACATCCCTTTGTTAATGAGCATCAAAGTAAGTACACTGTAGTAAATATTTATTTATTTTTTAAATATTTTCCTCATCTCAACCACAAAAGACTCACTTGTTTATCCTTGCAGGGAATTGCAACTTTAATTGGAATGTCTCTTGGACAAGAAAATCATGAAAAAGACTTTTCCTACTCTGTGACTCTGTTTGAGAAGCAGTGCCTCCCCAAACCCAAGTTGTTGCTATATAGTTCTGTAATTCCACTGACTGCCATCCTGCTCACTCTGCTTGTTATGGCTCTGATGTCAACCAAAGTCTCCCAGCTAAGGTTGATGGTCTGTGAACAGTTCTTCCCCTCTGCTGCTGAGGAGAGAGTGGAGTACCTCCACGGCAAAATCCTGAGGAAGAGATTCAAAATGAGAAAGGAGAAAAACAACTGCAGCCTCAGGTCACTTATTACCAAGGTGCATGTTAACATATTGCTTGAGAATAACTATTGCAAGGCAAAAAAAAAGAAAGAAAAAAAAGCCAAATCTCTAATTATGTAGTTTTTCTGTTCTTCTTCATCAGCCATATTTCTGGTTTCCGCTACTGTTTCATTCTAAAGAGGATCCACAAAGTATCCTGTGAGGAAAATCTTCTCCACACAGACACTCTAGTGATGGCGGTGCTAGTCCTGGTGCAGACTGACAGATCAACATGGATGGTCCATGGATCTCGCGGAGAGAAATATCAGCCTTATACTTTAGTCTGAATTATTGTCTGAAGGCCAAGAAAAATGCCCAGCAGATTTGTTTTCCCAAGTGGATCATTACGGCTTTACCATACTGGTCCACTTGACTGATCTTTATTTATTTATTTATTTATTTAAAGTTTTAAGTTATTACAGTCGGAACAGACATGTCCGGGGGATAAGAAAGGGAAAGACGCAGACAGGAGAAGTTCAAGAAAAGGAGAGGGAAAGATTAACAGAGGGGAAGAGGGACAGTGAGAAAAGACACTACACATCTGTTAAAAGAAGAAAACAAGCAGAACGAGAACAACCTCCCCACCAGCTGAAGAGGCCCCCAGTTCCATCGATGCACCAGAGGCCCCCCGCACCAGGGTTGGGCCTCCGTGCATGCACCCACCCACAACCTCGGTGACACACCAACCAGGACCCAAGCCCCAAAGGCCCAGCCAGAGCCCCAGCCCGGAGGCAGAGCACGCCCAGAACCCCAAGTCCACTCTGGACCCACCCAGAGTTCAGCTAGACTACCAGGTCGGTAACCTTCGTCCGCCAGCACAGACCCTCCTCCAGCCCTGCTGCAGGCAACCACCAGGAAAACACCACCCAAGAGCCACAGATCCCCATTCAGTTCAGTACCACAGCCCCCAGGTTGAGTCCCCCAAGAATCCCCAGACACCCCAAGCCTGTACCTACCCCCACATCAAGCGCAATAATGAAGGCGGGAAGACTAAAATGATCTTTCAGACGGTCTCTATAATGGTTAGAATTAGGATTATTTTTATTTTTCCAGTTCATGAAGACAGTTATCTTGGCAATGCATACGTTGGTGAGAACCATGTGGGCTGTATTCATCTATGTAGTGAGGTCATCCAAGATGCCCAACAAGTGGACTAGAGCGAAGGCTGGAATCAGTGGCGGTCCTAGCCTGTTTGGCGCCCTGGGCGAACACTCCCTCTGGCCGCCCCCCACCACGATGCTGCCCTGGGCAACCGCCCGTGTTGCCCATATCAAAAACCGCTACTGGCTGGAATGTTACATTTCAGATACTTTGATAAGTCTTCACATATCCAGCACCTAACCCTCTGCACTGGTGGAAAGAACCAAACAGCGTAACTGTCAGGTTTATTGCCTTGACAGTGTGAGCAGTTGTTAGAAGACATAAAGCCCATCTTGAATATCCATTGACCTGTATAGTGCACTCTGTGTAGTATTTTGTATTGTATTTTGGTCTAAGATGACTGATAAATCCGCTTCCCATTTTGCAAAAGGATATTGATTCATCTATTTTGGAAGGTGTCCTGTAAATTTTAGACGGTAATTTGGGGTTTTAAGATTAAGAAATTGTACCACACATGATTGTGTTTGTAATTCAACTTGATTAGGCTTAAACTTTTTTTATTATAAATTTAATTTGTTGATATTCTAAAAATCTTTTCTTGTTAATCCCATACTGTACAACTAGTCTGTCAAATGGAATAAAGTCCTCCTTCTAATATATATTCCAAATATTTAATTCCTTTACGACTCCAATCTGGGAGGTTAATCATATTATTTTTCTGTAGTATGTCAGTTTTGTTCCAGATAGGTGTACATTCGCATGGGATTAATGAAGACTCAGTCATTTTAAGAAACTCCCATCGTGCTGTCAGAGAAGAGCTGATGTCGACTCTTTTAAAACATACATGTAGTTTGGTGTTTGAGCTGATAAATGGTAGGTCCGAAATCTCTATATTATTGCATAGTGCCTGTTCTACATCTAGCCAGGGTGCATCTAAGAGCGATGTTTTAACCATCCCCAGTGTTGGTAAGGGTACTTTTGAAATGTCTTCCACTACAGATTACAGACTACATGCCCCAAAATGTAGTTTGTAACGTATTCCGTTAAGTTACTCTGAATACTTTGATTACTTACTATATTGTCATGCTTTTTACAACTACATGAATGTACTTTTGCTGTGTGATTTATTAATATTACTGAAGGCTACTCGCCATACCAAAACCACCTAGATTTTTAAATCCTAATATAAAATCAGTGCCAGTAGGGTGGACATTAGGTGAGGCTGCAAATTTTGCAACGATCTCATATAGAAAACTTTCAGTGTATGTTATTTCAAAATACATCATAATACATTTCTCTTCAATTGTTTTATATTATATTTAACATTTAGCAGAATAAATATGTACTCTTTGCGCCCCAGTTCTCACCTGTAATCCACCACCTACTGTGTCATTATTATTCAGAAAACTAGAGCAGTATACTACTATTTATGGCATCACGTGACAGCTCAGTCTACTGGTAACCGTGGCGCAATTAAAGACCATAAGCTAAGAGGTATTACCTTGATTCAACAGAGCTGCAATGAGCTCTCAGCCATAGGAAATACATTACTTACCTATTACATCATGTTCATTATATAACATGACAGAGGAAGAATTTTATAATGAATCAACCCCAAACTATGATCATTTTGCCACTATCAGTTGTGATGGTTGCAGTCATTCCTGCTATGAATAAACACCTAATTATGTTTGTTACATAAAATATCAAATAAAGAAACCGCAGTTATAACCTCGCTTCTGCATTTTACCTCTGTGCAGAATGTAGAACAGCGATATTTGCTTACATAATCTAAGACAGATGTCATTTGCATGTGCAGAGAGCAGCACTGTGCTCTTCCTACTTATGCACTGTCACCGTTCATTAGCATCATGCAGGTGCTGTTTCTTCACTCAGCATAGGGACAGGTCACAGCCTACTGACTTCATAATGCAGACTGTGACAGGTGAGAAATGCAGTGATGTGTGAATAGGGAAAGGTCAAAACTGCTATTAATGTGTATTCCTCAGGGTAGTGTAGCCCAGGTAAATACTATTAGTTTATTACTGTCTTATTGGTATATACACAGTTTTGAGAAATCCCTTAGGCTGTGTTTGTTCATTATGCATTAATATTTGCAAAAAAAACTTCCTTTATTTAACAGCTTATGACAGATGTTTTAAGTAGTAGAAATCCTATACTATACACTACATGCTCAGTATATTTACTATCATTCTGCGTACTTAAATACTTAGTGGTACACACACGCTACATAGTAGTATGCTCAAATCATATCACTCAGCTGCAGTTGGAGAGGCGTCACCACTGGCTCAGCCTTGTAGAATTGAGGAAAGTCATGATTAATATATGTACTTAATATATAATTCCTGGCAAAGTGAGAACATATGCTTAGCGGCCACTACATTAGGTATACGTTGCAAAGATGCCCTTTTACCTTTAGAAATGCCTTCATTCCTCACGGCACAGACTCAACAAAGTGCTGGAAACATTCCACAGAGATTTTGCTCCATATTAACATGACAGGATCTTGCCGTTGCGTAAGATTTGTCAGCTGCACATCAGTGATGCAAAGCTTCGGTTCCACCACATTCCAAAGGTGCTCTTTTGGCCTGGGATTTGGTGACTATGCAGGTCATTTATGTACAGTGAACTCACTGTCATTTTCAAGACACCAGGTTGAGATTGTTACAGCCTTGTGACATGGCACATATCAGGCTGGAACCAGCCATAAGAATGGTGTTACACTGTTATCCAACCAATAGCCATTTGGTTGTAACGAGTGGTTATTTGAGTAAGTCATTTGAAAGGTCTTTCTTCACTATTCTGATGCTCAGCTTGAAGTTCAGAATACTAGAATAATAGATACTTTGAGTTACTCCCATACTTTGGTTAGTTAAGTATACCTCTTCAACTGCAGGTTAAACATTTTCATTGCTGTTACAGTTAGCAAGACTAATTGATATCACCATGTTTGGCAAAACCTGATTCTTAGAAATACTGTGATCACTTAAAAAATACTTTGGGTTACACTAGTTAAAGTGTAAATATTTAGTATGAATCACTTCCTCTGTGTTTAAAGCTTGAAAACTCAAGTTATAGCCAGGTCACCATTTTAAATAGGCTCACCATTCACTGTACAATACCCCACCATCCCCCAACCATCCTTTGCACCGTTTAAGAAAAGAGGAAAGAAGCATTCTTGCTTGAGGATGAGTAGGCATTCTGTGACTCACACACTACCACTGACCCGTGTGGCAACCTGATAAGCTCACACTATGTCTCAACTGGCCCTGTGGCATAATAACATGCCAGCATGCCCGCCCCAATGGGAAGCTGCCACATGATGCTCGATGACAGCCGCAGACCTTTTTTACCACGAGAAGGAATGAATGCAGTCCATACATGGGCATAGATGGCGTGTATAATGATGTGTGAGCCTGCTGAATATGCAAACACAGAATCCGTCTGGGTCAGCGGAGTAAATCTTATTACCACATGCATGTCAGTGTATTTTAATGAATATTTCATCAAAGGGAAAGGATGCTTTTGGGTGAGAGACAGTTCTGTTACCAGTGGCAACTGGCATTTTAGAAGATGGGGGTAAAAAATGCAAAAACATGCTGTGAAGAAGAAAACTCAGGCATAATTACACACAACTATAAATGCTGATTTACTATTGTTTTAGAGCACAGAACACAATATACAGTGAAATTGTTTGTTTTTTTCTATTTAGAGACTTTTCATTTACTAACCAGGAACTCATGCATAAACCCGATTTGCATTTCTTATGGTGAGTTGCGTTATTACATAATGGTGTTAGTAATAAATGTATAGTTTGCAGCAGCAGAGTTGGTTTTTGTGATCTGTGTACTGAACAGAGCTGGCTGCAGATACAGCTGTATGTGACTCAGTTTCCTCTTCCAGCGGAGCATTGACTCAGGCAGAAATTCAACATGTTATAACCCTCATATGCTTGAAATGCAAAAAGCTACTCCAATGAAGGTTGTCTTTGAGAAAACACTTGTTGTTTGTGCAATGGGTAGCTTCTGGGTTGCATTGTTGGAGATTTAAGGTGCCCTTTAAGTTCCCAGGTATGTGTTCAGACAGAAATGACTTTGCCTTCATATGGCTTTCTGGTCACAGCTGTAGGTTTCCTCACCTGCAGGTCAAATACAAAGCAGACAGAAACATTAGGTCATCCTGTGCGTGGTACCTACTCCCAGTCTGGTTGCTTCAAGTTCATAATTCTGAATTAACTATGAAAAGTGTTTTACAGCTAAGCGGTCCTGCCAATGTATGTCCTCTGTGCAATTCATGATCTGCACTTGGAATGGACACAGGAAAATATCAGTTTTAGCAAATATCAGAAGTAGACTGAGTCAAAATCACACCTGAGTCTGTAGTCTGTAGTCTCCTGTATAGTTCATCTTATTGAGATATACTTATTTGCAATATTCTGGGTAATTTAATCCAAATTTATATGCTTACAGCATATATGACGCTACAACCAGCATCCAGTTTGCTTACCTCAACTGACCATAAATAGTAAATAAAAGAGGGAACAGTTAGGCTAACGGCTTTTACACACCAGATGTGTAAAAATGGTGTGAATATTTTGTGTGTTAAAGATATTTTTCAGACTCACCTATGAAAGCTATCGTGATACAGCCTGAACTCTTGGACCAAACCCTGAAATTCTCCCTGATGCTGCCCTCTCACGAGAACTGGATGAACCCAGAATCTCTGTTTCAGGGCCAGCTAATCATCGCTTGATGTCAACTTGATTTTTTTGAGTGCATTTTTTCAAGAGCAAATTTTTTTGCAAAATCGCAACACTTTTGTATATGTATGTGTATGCACTACCCATTAAGTTCACATCCAAAAAATGTGGAACTTCAGTGACACTTCTGACGCTAAGACTTTACTAACCTGCTCCCGCTGCTTGATTCTTTTGTAAACAAACTCAGAAAATGGTTTTCTGTGGATGAACTGGCCATGTCCTGGTGACACCTTCAGCTGCCCATCCTCATACACCACTTTGCCTCTGGAGATGGTAATGACAGGTACCCCATGACACTCCATACCCTCAAAGATGTTGTAGTCCACAGCCTGGTGATGAGTCTTGGCAGATATTTTCCTACATAAAGATACATTGGCAGCTTTAAAAACAGTCAGTGGAGGCTTTTTATGAGCTAAACTCATTGGTCACATGTAGCCTGCGTTAGATAATTGCTGGATGCTTTCTGAATACCAAAGAAAAGGATAAATCTATTGTGAAAACTTAATGCAGTCCATCCTCATCTGAAACTGATTGAATCAGGCCAAGATGTACTTGCAGTTGGTTCACTGTGCAGCAGTAATATAATGTATTATTCAAAACTTTTGCTCATGTGAGGCTCTTAAAGGCTCACTAAGCACATACACTAAGCTTCTTTCAGACAATAAAAAGGCACCTCAACATTTTCACTGCTGCCTATTACATTATTGTGGCATCTATCCAAAGGCTGCTGCGTGAGCACAGCCACATAATATTGCAGCATAGCCAGTATCCAGATATAAAAAAAGACTGTGCAAGCTGGAACCTGATGGGAAATATGAACAAAGAAACACAAGAGCGGCAACATTTTTCAGTTCTCAGCAAAATAAATTTAGCATAGCTGTGATGGAGTTTAGTAGCAGAAATTATTAAAGTAATTTAAATGGTGTACAATGACAATACTGCTGTTAAATGTACACATGTCGAACTTTGAAACAGATGGCCTACAGCAACAGAAGACCATATTGGGTGCCACGCCTGTGAGCTAAGGACAGGAAACTGGGGCTTTAGTTCACACGGGCTTGCCAGGTTTGATTTATAAAGAAATGATAGAATTTCTTCGTTTCTTCGTTTTTAGTTTCTGGATTAAAATGTAAAAAAGGTACACCTGTTCAACCAAC